ACATGGACGAGGTTCCTCTCAGCTTTGACATCCCCGTGAACCGTACTGTTGAAAAAACAGGGACGTCTACTGTATCTATACGCACCACAGGGAACGAGAAATCATCCTTCACTGTAGTTCTCGGTTGCCAGGCTAATGGCCAGAAACTACCACCCATGGTCATTTTTAAGAGGAAGACTTTGCCAAAAGAAAGGTTTCCTGTTGGGGTCATCGTCAAGGTCAACCCAAAAGGCTGGATGGACGAGGAGAAAATAAGCGAGTGGCTGAGAGAAGTTTACGTCAGGAGACCGGATGGCTTTTCCACACATCTCCGTCCTTATTGATCTACGACTCCATGTGCGCCCATCTCACTGAAACTGTCAAACGCCAAGTGAAGAAAACTAATTCGGAGCTTGCCATCATTCCGGAAGGATTAACCAAAGAACTCCAACCGCTAGATATTGGTGTCAACAGGGCGTTCAAAGTTAAATTGCGAGCCGCGTGGGAGCATTGGATGACAGAAGGTGAGCACACATTTACCAAGACAGGGAGGCAACGCCGGGCTAGTTACGCCACTATCTGCCAATGGATCGTCGATGCCTGGGCCAAGGTATCGGTCTCAACTGTCGTCCGAGCTTTCACGAAGGCCGGAATCATCAATGAACAAGCAACAGCAACGAGACTGACTCATGATGACGAGAGGGATCCGGGCTTGCTTGATGCCGCTATCGCCCAACTGTTAAACTCCGACACTAAAGATGAAGAATTTGACGGATTTGTAGAAGAGGAATGGTTGAAAAAGTGAGTGTATTTTTCTGTGTTTTATGTGAACAATATTGACAGTTATTGTTAATGTGTTGAATTAAATCTGACCTCTCCGACTATTTTGTTTCGCTTTGTGTGCCTTATGATCCGAAAAATACGGTAACCGCTTATGATAGACTGCCGCCGCTTTCCAATGTCTCCATCGATGTGACGCAAGGACGTTCACTGTCACCTTACCTTTTCAAATTCGATATTGATGAGCTTCACTGGACACGACCTACGAGGTTTGCAGCTGCTTCCAGTTGAGCGACTTTTTGACTTAAAGCATGCAGATGATATTGCATTCATCTGTGACAGCCCACAAACGTGCCAAGCGCCGCTGGACAGATTAGTTGTGGCTGTCATTCGCTTTGGATTGGATTTCACATCCTGTAAGCGCAAAGCTTTGTCTCCGAATTGACACTTCGTTTGCTGACCCTTGATGACTTTAACTAGAAGTCGTTCGGAAATGCAACCACCTGGGCAGTTATGTCAGTACATATGGAGTGAAAGTCAAATTGATGAACCGTATAACAAAAGTCTGAGACGCTTTTGCTCAACTCCACCGCTTATGGCGCCGGTACCAACTCATTCTTACACTGAAGAGTAGTGTGCGTTTCTGTCGTTCGTCCAACCATCCTGCACGTTTGTGTAACATGACCGATCAGATCGGTGGACGCAAAGTGGCTGGTTGCGTTCAACCACCGGTGCTTTATCGATTTAGTTCATATCTGATTGACGCAGCTCATGAATAATGGACTTCTTCAATGACTTCTTCTCACAGGGAGAGGAGTTGAATCGCTCAGCAGAAGTTTCACGCATCAGGCTCGTATGACTGGATCATGCGTTATGCGTGCCAGCACACCGACTACCGCGACGCGTGCTTCTTGCACCTTCGGCGTGTGAGCAGAAGAGAGAAGGGATGCGTTGCCATTGACACGGTCAAAAGGAATGAAGGCCCTCACCTGGAACTTGGCTTCCGCTGGCTACCCCAGATCCCCAATTTGGGGTGCTTTTCCAGGTGTATGATGGCTACCTGACTAAGTCTAGACATGATGAATTTATACCTATACCCTTCAACTCCCCTACTACTCCTTTGTAATCAGTACGTAGACCAAACCGCTTACAATGCCATCAGTTACTTTGCGGTCTAAGTTTCGTAACTTCGTCGCTACCATGTCCTCTGCACGGCAGTAACGTGCAAGTCAGTGGATAGTGAGCGCCGCTATATCACATATAATAACTTATTCACGATGGTCGTTGCCGTTGCCCGTTGCTCAGTTGTCTCAACCACAGACTGGTAACAGTCGAGTTGCGGGTTCGAGCGACACAAGGGTCAGGTGGAATGCGCACTGCTGACGATTCCCGAAAGGATGAAACGCGCGTACAGTACTTTTCCGGGCGGGTGACGGCTGTCTGAGTGAGTCTATATGTGATGAATTTCTACTTATACTTTTGACACGATCAAAACGAAGCATATAATTCGGTTTATTTTTTGTTATATTCTTTTTTATTGTCATCTGGTTATTTTGCATTGCAGCACAGTAGGTAAGGTGTTTCTCACCTACAGCTAACAGGTAGAATGATGATGATGATGATGCATCCGTGTGCGTAACTTGCGGACACTTTTGACGTTACAAGTGTAGTTTAGTGGTGCACGGGAACTGTTACTCGATCTTCTGTGCCCCATGCTCCCCGCTATGCGCTACACAGCTGCCCTTAACATCTTGTTGACAGCTTTTCACTAGCAGGATGTCAAAGAGCAAAAAACTTTGACGTTCACTCTCACCACTGTCTATGGCTTGTTCAGTGTCACCAGCCCCGTGTGACATCGTTGACTTGATGTTCACCAGCACATCTCTCAACACCCACGCACGTACCCATTCACGTGCTTCATCTTGCTTGTTACACGTCGGAGATTCATCCGTACTCATTTCTTTCTCAATCGACTCATCGGTTGACGTCTTTCGATCACTTAGGCTAACATCTACGTCAGTGTTCTTGACGTGGTGCTACATCGCGTTCCGTACTTTTGCACCTCGCACTTCAGCTGTCCATACGCGTTAAACATTGCGACATCTGCCTTTTGCACTTAGTTATCTTCAGGTATACTGCCATTCGTCTTCTGTGGTGATCACTCATTATTCTGGGGCCTTCGCACCGGAACACCTTAGTGTGCCTAGTGTGGGCAACAATTTTATCCGATTAGTACAAATCGCCGTCCACTTTAACCACAGCTCTGTACGCACGCACGTAACCATTGCAGCCGCCTCCATTACAGTTGAGGGGCGTTACTTTTTGTCATTTAGTAGCTTCCGATATCCATCGTCTGATAACATGTTTTGTTTTGTTGCCTGTAGGTCTGCAGCTACCTTGGCTGATAGGGCGATTTTATACGCTTTACTGTTTCCGTACGCTTATCTGAGTGAACTTTAAGTCATTCGTATCTAGGTCTTGATAGTCATGAACGGCTAGGTGGTTGAACTTGGCCTCAAGAACTCACCTTCACTCGGTTACAACGACCTACTCACCAAACTCTTGGCGTCAGTTATAAAGAGGTTTCGACAGTGTTTAGTCCTGTTTTATTTGTTATCTACTCACGGTTTCCTGAGCTTTCTTTGTCTGCTTGAGTATACCCATCCGATCTAAGCCGGAACGCAGCGGCACCGTTAACAGTTTACTCGTTTGCTGCCAGGGTTTATTACTCTCGAGATACTTTCCCGCTTGGTTATTTCCACTTCCCAGTTGAGATCCCATAGATTATAGTCGACGGAATCTAGTGGGTCGTTTTGTGAGCCGTACTGCGTTATTTTGAGTACGTCGCGAAACAACCTATTCGGTAGGTGGCACAACATCAAGTCTGTAGAGTCTGAAATAGTCCGCGCTTACTTATCGCATGAATGTGTAGTGTGGCCCGGTCTGAGCCACTTTTATCCAAAAGGAGACCGTTTTGAGGAAACTCGCTCTTATTCTGTCCTCTGGAATGTGGGGTCCCCTCGCCCTTGAAGTTGCCGATTATCTGTCTCGTCCCCCTCAATTTTTACGTTAGCAGATTACCCGCCACAACTTGAATTGCACAGACACTTGTAAGCTATATAGAGTTTATAGGATTGGGGTCTTGTTATTACTTAGATAACGGGATTCGCATCATTTATGTCTGCTTATAAGTAAATTGAGGCTACATTTATGTACTTCTTTGTGCCAAACGAAGAGCAAACAGTTAAAGACGGGTCATTGACGCATCATTTGGTGTTAGCTACAAATCCCTGTAAACAGTCCGCTCTTGTTCATGCTGGCATCCCTTCTCATTCCATCTATTTTGCGTGGTGGAACGTGACTCCCTCCGCGAGTGAGAACTTGAAACTCGCCCTTGTTTCATCTCCTAGTACACCTTTACGTAATGCGCACTTCTTTTACTGGCCGTAGCAACGCGCTTCTACCTGGGAGTTTGACCATTTTGGTAGGTGGTGGTAACTTGAATCTGTCGCACGGTAAATATCCTACGGCGGTATCAGTGCAAAATCGATTGCCCACTTATTTCTCCATAGCCCAAATCTAATGCCAACATACATAACTCACTCACTTTGTATTATGCAAAGGTATTCCCATCTCATCTTGCTAGCACCCTTCAAATAAGTGTGTTTTAAACTGACCAGATATCCTACGACGAGGAGCCTCCGGTCACATGAAGTGCATACATCGTGGACCTTCAACCGGTCTAGCTCGAACATCCTGTTTGCTTTCTCAACGTGGGGCTGTCCCTATTCTTACCGTGGCATCCGCGAGGTCCCGATCATCTGAAAGGTGTCTGGTGAACTGTGAACTGAGTAGTTACTATTTATAATTAGGCTTTTAAATAAACTATCATCTCATGGCTTTTATCATTGACACCTAGGAGTTGTGCATCCCTCCGAATCCTCACCGTGCCACACATTCTTCTCCCTTACTTCACAAAATGCACTGGACAAGCACACCTGCTCATCTGTGTCTAAGCGACAACCCCACGTTATATCACCATGTCTCATGCGTCGCCCGACCCAAACATACGTTCTCCCACCATACCACTTTCTCTCCCTCTCTAGTTGAGAGTTGTTTCGTTGAAATATCACTCCAGTTTACTCTTATACTCCACTCCAAACGATAACTGTGATCGAGGTTCCTTGTGGTCTCACAATATGTATCGATTCTTGTCTTACTTTCCGCTTTTCCTATTTCAGGTCCTCACCGTTACAATGCCTGTCAGGCCAGTACCGATCAAGTAAACTACGCTCACAAGTCGCTCTCACTCCAATCTTGTTTCTCCTCATCGCTGGCCTATTGGGGTATGCACAATGCATTTGAGCTCCAACTCTGTTCACTGTTGTCCTGGTTCCACTTCCTGTACCGCCCTGCATTCAACCGTAAAATAAATAACCATGATGTCTACATTTTTCGTCACCTTCTCTCCTTGTTTATAGCAGTTGAGTGAAATTAGAATCCCATAAACCCGTGGCGTGGATTCCATTTGGCTCCCATTTTAACCCTTGTGCATAGATCTACACAGCGGTAACTGTGTCTCGGTAAATCCACAGTTCCCAATACTCTATTTTTCCAGTTTCAATCTCGACAACTGCACACTCGGTACTTTGGTTTACTTACTCGGCACACAAACACCGCGTCGTGTTGTGAACGACCAATTTCAAGAGAGTCTGTGTTCCTTGTGTCCTTTAGGCACTTATGCCTATTATGCGGACGGACTGACCGGACTAAACTGCATTGTCTTGCGACAGTAATGCCCCCGATTGCTAACCTCTCATTTTTGTATAACTCAGTAAACGATTTGGTCGCACCTTCTTCGACTCTTACGCCACTGACGGCGTTGCGTCACATACGATACCACTTCGTCTACAGTAGAAATGGCATGTAGTCTGGTGTCTTCCCACGTGAGTTATCTTACATTCCCAAATTTGCCTTTACTTATAGATACCACGAGGTGATTTATCTGGTTTTTAGGCTTTTCGAATGAATGATTGATGTTTTCGGTTGCATTGGCGTCACGAGCAGACGTCTATCGCGGGACAGGGTCTTTCTTCACACGCACCCTGCTATAGACTAACCTAGAGGCTGTTAAAAGTGTTATCCTCATGCCTAGGCTAGTAGGTAGGTTTTTACCAGGTATGAGCGGAGCTTGTCACAATAAGACTCTGCCGGATACCTGTTGGGAACACTGGAGATTACCGATCAACCATTCTTTCAGGATCCATCCCGCGTCACTCCTTCCCCTATTCGATGAGCACAGGTGCGAAGCTTGTTTAACCCGCCTATCGTAAGCCGATGTGGTCTAGTGATTTTGACACCGCCTTCCGTTCTCCGCTCCTACACGCGTTGCTAAAGGGCGGCACAGTTTCCCATTGCAGCGACATCTTCCCAGACTAAATCGCCACTCCACTTGCGGTTTTTAATTCATTAACGAAAAGTGTATGAGGTGTACAGTTGCTGTAACGCAATTTTTTACTTGACTTTTCGGCAACTAGAAAATCGCTGAAGCTCCGTTTTTCTCAGGTCTCTATCACCTGCTCGGAAGCGGTTTGCGAGGACACCAAGCGAGGGCCAGCTCAAGGCAATCTCAAGTATCTGTCAACCTCAGGGTTGTTTGCTACTGAATCTTAATCTTTTGCTGCATCGATTGTACCAAACTTTTGATTACCCGTTCTTTTACATGGGGCACTGAGTACCCAACCTTTTCTGCGTGACTGAGCGACGCATTCATCGAACGGGTTTCATTGTGTCGACCATAGACCGTTTCATCTGAATCCACTCACTGATCGTAGATTTCTAAGGACACAACACAATTCCCCTGGGGCAGCTTGCTACCTCTGCTGCTATCGCATCGTACTACATTTCCTTTGTATCAAGTAACACTGTTTCACCGAATGCACCGCACGAATTTGTCTCTTGCCACTCGTGATAGTTGGAGATAGTGAACTCAGTGTATTGTGTTCTTGAACTTTTCTCTCCTGTGTGGCACTCTTCATGCTTTTACAGCCATGCCATTTGTTTAGGTTCCCCGTGGAGTGTGCACCATTCTCCTCTCCCAAACGTGCAGCTTGCTGTGTGGGTCTGCATTAAATATACCATTCACGAGTCAACTATGGCCGAATTGACTGTATGGGCGTTAGTTTGCGTGACTTCCCTGCTCAGTTGAGTTTCACCGAAAGCAGTCGAACAAATATGGCTACCAGCTTTTCCGCGGTCACTGAAATCAGGTAGGACTAAATTTCCCACTCTTTCTCTCTCTCTCGCAACCCATAAAAGTGGCGAAATGACCTGAAAGTCTGTAGAGATTCCGGAGCTTTCGCGACATCCAACCTCACGCCCGAAATCATTTTCACCACACGCTGACCTTATTTTATCGCCAAGGCTGCAATCGGCACGTGTCGAGAAGCTGCCGTTCCGTTGTGGGTTTTCGGCTACCCACTTGGGAGCAGGATTAAGCGCACCTGGTCCAAATTTGACCACGACGCGCGCGATCTGCACAGGCGAAGCACATGTTGTGCATTGAAGTGATGTGTGTGTGTGTGTGTGTGTGCGTGCGCCAGTTCTACTCCCAGGATCACAACAGTCTCCTCGTTACCCATAGTTAAATGCTCTGAATTACGCGCTGCTAACACACCGGCCGGTAAGGAGGCGTTCGTTCGACGAGCAGCCCTAGTTGTGGGTTTCCTCGTCCCCTTCCGTCTAGGCCCACTGTTCTTTCGGATCGCTTTGACGGCAACGCGATATCTGCGATATCTCTATGGGTTCATTCGAAATACCCGTATCTTATCCCAATACGCAATCTCAATGTGGACCGCAATTAACTTTGAATTGAACCTCAATCAATCCGGCCACTGGGATCGTATCTGGGACAGATCAGTGCTCGGTGTGGTTCCTCGCAACACGGTGACGCGTGAGTAGTTTCAACTGTCAGTCCCGCTTTCGAGTCGCAATCCCGAGCTGGTAAGCACAACCGAATCCGAACCCGCTATTGGAGTTCAAACAGGCGACACTTCTAACATTTACCTGATGCTAAGACCTCGTTTGAACATTAAAATGATGGTCTACACCGCCTTTCTGGTGGCATGTCTGTGTCCTCTAGCGTTACTTGAAGCGATTGAAGCGGGCGCCGAAAAGTCACGCGACGTTGGACGATCATAGAAATTCATCACTCCGTTCTTCAGGAATCGGGCCAGCCCATGTTAGCCCTGCTATGTTGCGGATTGATCTGTGCCCAAGCCAGTCAGGCATTCCGGCAAACAAAAGGAGCAGAGAGAACCGTTTGGAAGCCGTTTACTTTCAATGGATCTGAGGTCGTTCTGGTTACCACCCCTCTCTTCCATAGTGTTACTGAGTATTGCTGTAATCAGCTCTGTGCTTTGAACGTGGGGCCACATTCAGCTACTGCTCCGCTTCGTGAGTCATTGTCATCCACCCTGCACCAATCCTGAATCTCGTAGACCAATTAGCGTTTCACGAAGCTGCGGTAACTAGATCCGGTAATCAGATGCAATCGTTCTCTTTTTGCCCAAACTCATCAGAGCTACAGTCACTGCTGCAGCCTCCGGCTGATTAAGCGGATTACTTCAAGTGTCCTTTACAAGCGCATTAAGGACGACGCTAACCATTGTTTGCTTCGCTCATGTGCGGATGCTCAGCGATGCTGATTCTCCAGCTGAATTTGCTACCTCCATTTTATGGACTGAGAGCTCTAGGAACTACTAATCAATCTCGGTTAACCATTTTGTTTTCACTTAGTGTATTAACCATACCTGCACATTGGACTGCTTTTGAGACTCATGCCCCCAGTCGACAGTCTTTTATCAGCTAGATACTTTGGATGTGACAATATTAGGGGCCAATTTTGGTCTAAAGTAGATTCACTTTTGCAACGCATTGTAACATTTCACATTGCTGATAAAACGATCGCAACCTGTGCACATGTAAGAGACCCGTCGACACTGTCATTGGAGCAAGCATAAACTACAACGCTTGTAGGGAGGCATTATAGCCCAACTGGGTAACGAACTTGCATCTCCACTTTCTGTGCTTATCGCGTTATCTACGTTTAGCCATTCGGGTGGGGTGAGCATCCTTACGGTATACTCAGCCTGCGCGCGACTGGTGGTTGTCACACGGCAGCAAAGCGCTGTTGCGTCGTACAGCTGGCGATCTATCTCTATTCACTGTCTGAGAGATCCCAGTTGCCTGTGGTTCTTTGAATTGCTTAGCTTAAGAAGACCTATCAGGCACTTTCAACCATTAGGGCTCATTCGACCAACTTGCCTCCAACACGCGTGTTGTAATTGCTATCTGCCTATATAGCGCGGGAGCACGAACCAGAACGGGACGCGGTTTGTGGCAACACGGCTACAGATGGGCCACTCGCTCCTCATCGATTATCAATTCGTGAACGTGGGCCGCGCTGTTTACGAACTCAAATGACCTAAGAGCCAACTCGGTTTTTCTGCGCTTCCAACCGAACTTCCTATCGCAACTGTGCCGTTAGGTTTCCACACCCTGATTTATCATCCGCAACTATATTCATCCGGGTGCATCTGGGGAATGCTCTATTCCTTCACTGGGCCCACTGCTGTCGGATGATGACCGGTGGGAACACCCCCGACACTACTCAACGGCGTTTGTCGCGCGTCCATCCTCAGACAACCACTTCAAACGCTGTAGCAACTTACCCGCATTTCAACCCTTCCCTTACTTGAATTTGGTTTCTTCCCTGTCATTCAATGACACTCCTTCACGAACAATTTGATGTCGCTTTGCTTCGTGACGATGGAACAGGTGCATCATGCACACATTAATTTCACCACCCCTCCTTGCATACGTTCACCATCTATCTTACTCAAGTATCAAATTCATTTTCTAAAATCGAGCTCTGTAGCTTTGATATATTCTTGCGCACTGAAATCACTCGTCTCAAAAATGCCCGAACACAGGCGCCACCTATGCGATCACACGCTGTCCATTGCTAACTGACCTTTTTGGCAAACAGCCTTCACAAGCTGGCACTGTTGGACTAGTTCGACTCGAGTGTGACACATTTTGCCATATTCTATAATCAGATTCATGCTCTCAGAATTCACGTGACCGAATCGTTAAACTTGTCCAGCTCTCATCCGCTATGTTGTCTGGACGACGTTTACTTCGTCTACTCCTTTAATTCGCTGCGCTCAGATCCATACAGTCGTGTTTGTCCTCGTGCGATTCCATGGGATCAGATGCGTGTCTCTGGTGCTCACGAGAAACCACATATGCCTCGAGTTTACTTCGGTGCTCACCAATATACCGTGCGTTAGGCCGCTGATATGCACAAGAAGCTAATGAGCTCAGTGAGTTGATCTCGAGGTTTCTCTGCTGTGTGCTACATTACAACGCAGCCTGTATTCAGGTAGATGAAATTGTTAGTGTTTTCATCAGTTAGACAGGCCGAATCACGGGTTGTATTCATTCTGGGAGTTAATTGATGCAGGAGCGGGTGATGAGAGCAAATTAATTATACCTTCCGTCATGTATGGGCTTTGGTCCCCCGAAACCTCCCCCATAAGGGTTTCAAGAATATGTGCCACTGTTAAGCGAACAAATCGGTGTTGTATCGGTTCATCCACTTTTCTATGAAGGAGAGCCGAATGTCTCAACTTAGCAATCTGATAGTACCACCACTTCCTGCACGATGCATGCGGAACAAAAACCAATGAAATTTGTCCCGTCTGACGTGTCACTCAACCCAACGTGGTTAAATAAAACCAACTCGATTCTCCTTGACCACCGTGATTACCGCGAACGATCCACACCTCTGTGACAGCGCAGTTTGAGACATCGTGTCTTTTAGACAGCGTTCGCAATCCCAACCACCCTCTCTTCCATTTGCTTTAACCTTCGTTTCTCTAACACATCGAGGTTGCATTTCACTTTGTCAGTGATGGGTCACCTTAACTGCGACCTCAGTGTTGATATCAAACCGTGTCTATTTTGAGAGCAACAACTATGCGGGGTTTTAGTTACATCTATGTGAACGTTTTAGGTACTTTCACATACCCCTACACCCGAGGGAGCAAGTCGCCAGTGTGGGCAAATCCTCTTTTTACTGATAGCCTGCTATCATTCCTTAGCCATTCCCATGACTGACAGACGGGCAACGGTCTTTTCTTCACCATGTGCTGCTTCAGTTAATCACTGCCGGCCGAGCCAATGCTTGGTTGGCTAAACTCTGCTACAATAGCTGTAATGAACCATCGGTGTTTGTTTGTCCGCAGGTGGTCACTTACTTTTGGCTGACAACTTCGCATAAACCATTATATGGCTCTGCGCAGATACCGACAAGTCAATGCGAACACTATATGATGAACTTACTTACGGGTATCGTGTTGTGGACGGACATGCACATACAATCCTTCTGATAAAGTGAAACAATGACGACTTAAAAGCTTTGCGCCAACAACGGGGTCTCGTTGGATTACCCCAGCTTCTTGAGGCACTGAACCCCATTGATTACGTGATGGAGAGGGCAACGGTGGATGTTATCAACTGCAGTGATTCTAGTGACGCAGCTGCTTTTCTCAGATCGCGGCATGCAAGAATAAAAAGTGTAATGTTTTCAGAAAGAACACAGATGAACACAGTTAGGTCACCTGGTGTGGGGCAACAAGCGATTCACCAAAGATAAGATTTCACAGCTTTTGTCGTGCAAATGGAGATATGCATGTGGCTTCAAAGCACTATGGGGATGCTTACATTGGTCACAGGACCGGTGAAAGCAGAGCAATGAAGGAGAAAAATTGTACAAAATTTCGGGAGCATCAAACATACATGGTTAAAACAATTTCTCACAAGTCACTTTTGATGTGTATACGGGTTACTTCATGAAGATCTCTATTCACATAAAAGGAATTTTAAAATTGTTCATCTTCCATATTATCAAATCCTCAAGAGATGAGGAAGAGCGAAAAACAGATAAGAATGGCGATTCAAAAACAAAATTAAGGTTTCCGCGCATGTCGTGATATGTAGTGGGTTGTCACAGCCAACATTAGCGTCATCAAGCCGACCTGGTAAGTAACATTGCCACTCATCAACCAGGTGCTGGAGTAACTTGCAATTACAACCATAAAGGAATGCACCTATTTGTTTGTAGGGCGTAGTATGGGCGGACAAAGTTGCAAAACACAAATGCTCACTGTTATCACTCATTACGAGTCTAACCGCTTCTCATCCACAGTACGAGCGCGGTTGATATGTTGTTCACATCCGTACAGATTCATACGACTCAGAACGAACAAAAAAGGTGCCTGATCAATTCGATGGTCGGACTAAAACTCGCCGTACCAAGGGATAAATGCAGTGGGGAGGTGGGGAATGGAACTGCGGATCGAGTGTGGGTACGTGTTATTGATAGCCACTGAATATTTGATGATTTTGTTAGGCGAAGGAACAGTATGCGGTGTCTGGAAGCACAAACTACAACCCAGTGACCCATCTCGGACGGCTGTACACATGAAAATGAATCGTCGGGTCAACTCATCCATACCCTTTCTCGATGATTCGGCACAGTTCATCGTCAGTGGCTGCTCTGATGCTTCTTCATATGCAGAGTTAGATGATCACTTCGAGCGAACGCTCTCTGACACAGCCGACATTGAAAAGGCCTATCCCCGGTGTGTTTGCGGTAGTGGCGAGTCAGTTCATCCGAACGAGCGAATCGCCAGGTACATCCAGGCCAATCACATGGAAACGGTTTCTCTCCGGTGTGTACTCGCATGTGAGCTTTCAGATGGGAACTTTTTGAATAGGCTTTGGCACATGTATTAAATGGGCAAACATGTAACAGCGCCAAGGATTTCTTTGTTCGGATACCCGATTCTTCGGTGCGTGATCGTGTCTTCCCGCGACGTTTAGTAATCACAGTGGTCTCAGACATCGGTATCATCGACAGCTTGGATACTTCATCAGTAGGAGTTCTGCCACCACCGGTTGGTGTCGTGCTCAGTAGGGCGAGTGTCCTTGACTCCGATATTTGTGTGCTATATGTGAGTTCACTAATCTGCGTATCAGAGTGCAACCTGTTAAGGTTACCAGATGCACGGCTCCTCTGGAAATGCTGTGAGCGTGGGGCCAGTGCCCGGAAAGCACTGGGCAGGGTTGAACTCCAGTTATCTAACCGGTACAAGGAATTACTAAAGGGGCTTTGTTTGTACTCTGTCAGCGGAGTCGTGACCTGTGGGTGGAAGGCGTTCTGGACCGAATTGTCCGCGATGCTCATCTTGCCTGTAAGGCACGGTTGGGCTACGCTGCAATTCAATGAACTGTCATCGGAACAGGTTAGGTATGAGGATGAGAGGCACATCGTGTTTGCATTGCTCGCGGTCAAAGCATTCGTGTTCACTTGGTGCTGATGTTGCTGCAGCTCGGATCCTGGTTCAAATGGTGGGCACGTTACTGGGTAAAATCTTGTTGTGTGACTTTGACCGTTATTACCTATCGCGTACGAGGGGAGGTGCATGGATACATCCGTGGTGGTTTCTGTGGGATGTGTGAAATGCAGCTGATGGGAGGTAGGCTGTGAAATAGTAAGTGCTGCTGCACGAAACTGAGGCACAAATTGGTCTTCGCTTGCGGTGCGTTGCGGGTGATAGGCTTCACCGATTTCTTGTCCACTTGAAACCCCATTCACCGATGTAGTAGTCCAGGTGTAGTGGTGTACTTGTCGGAGGGCCTCATTTGTAGATTTATAATTAGGTTCTGGAAATATCGGCTCTGCTTTCACACAGACTGGAGAAGGATTGTGGACGTTCCCTAGCTCGTAGTAGTACTTTGCGCCTGAGTTTGTGCATGAATTCGCGTCAACATCGTTACTTTGCACTCGAATGACTCGAGGGTAGGATATCGCCGAAACAGTGGGACTGCTTAAAGTCAAGCCATTCACGGATGTGACGTTTGATGGCGTTGATTGGGTCTGAAGAGCTACGAATGAGTCAGCGGTAACGCTGGCTCTTTGTGCGGCACTATTCTCCAGTATGAAGTCGAGATCGAGCAGACTCTCGTACTCGGTGCTGGATGAGGTGTTGCTGATCTGTTCGACGGCGAAACCGCTACCCACAGAAGAGCTTTGATCTGAGGTCATCGGAGAAACAAAGCCAGAATTACCGTAGGCATCCGATCCGGAGTTCTACAAAGGCACATAAGAAGAAAGACTATTTAATCGGCAAATCATCTTGCATTTTAATATTTTACTCATCTAACGCTAAAATGGAGAATAAGTTGTTCAAAATTGATGGCCAGTTCTCCAGCTTAGATGCATTAGGGTAACAGTGAATCGAAGAGTTAAGGTCATATGCGGTCTGTTTCAGCAAATGACCCATGCAAATCATTCTCCATCCGCATGAATGCATTGGGATACGAGGCGCAATTACCACTAGCCTATCAGTGTTTCGATATCTCCCCGGCTTAATATTCTTTCTCTGAGTTCACTTATTTTATTGAGGCTTGTTAGTATGTAATATATCTCAATTCCTTGACACATGGTTGATCCGCTCTAATTCAAAATACCGTCCATAGTATCTTACGTTGATCATACGACAGATAGACCTGTTTCCATTGTCACCTGTGCACCGAGACAAGCCATAATCGTCGCAGTTCTGTCTCGCAGCCAAATTAGAACATCGTCAGCCGGTGCTCACGTCACTGCTCCACTTGCCTAATACATTGCTGTTCCCATACTCCAACTGTGTGTATTTTTCGGGTGCTAGCTGCCCACTTCAGCCACTGAGCTTTACTATTGTAAGTCGAGTAAAGCAAGAATTTGTGATATCAAAACCCTAAGGCGAAGTTCGTTGCATGTAATCGTATCTGGACACAAATCAACACCTTTTACAAGAACAGCTGCTAATAGGTTAGCAGCTGTTCTTTTACAAGAACAGTTGCTAGACTACTTCATTTGTCTCCTACTTTGTCCATTCGGGTAATTTCCATTCAGTTTCCATAGATGAGGATTCTGTCTGAATAACATCGTCATATCGTAATGGTTGTCTGTGGCCCCTTAGATCAACGGACATAAAAAGGCTAGTTACGTTCGACCACCGGTGCCTTCGCAATTTAGCTCACATCTGGTGCGAACACCGAGTAAGCAACGAGCGTGTCCGACGCCTTGTTTACGGCACAGGAAAAGGAGATGAACCGCTCAGCACCGTTATTTCACGAACCAGGCTCCGATGACTGGGCCACGTGTTACGCATGCCAGCCCACCGACTTCCGCGACGTGTGTTGTTTGCGCGCCAGGGGTGTGGATGGAGGAAGAGGAGGGGTGACCAAGCGATGACTTGGTCCAGAGGACTGTAGGCCCTCACTTCGGAGCAGGCCTCGGTTGGAGCGTCTCGGCTCCCTGGTTGGGGTCCGAAAGACGATGAACACGTTTGGTTGGACACACTTGCTGACATGGCAAAGAGCCGACCTCAGTGGCGTTCGTGCTGTGAGTTTTTTTTATCCCACCCCATCCCTTTTAGCCTCCCCCTCCAACTACGACCTCATTATTTAGCCTTATATAATTTTGCATAGTAATTTTTTTGGTGCACAGCATCCGGCTGGTAGCTTACCAGAACGATGCCCATCCGTTACCGGTAGCTCGGCTGGCTTGCACCTGTTGCATTTTATTCCCTTTTTCCTTTAGATATTGCGGCACAGTAGCTGAGGTGTTTCCTACCTCTAGGTAACATGTATAATGATGACGATAATGAGTGGTTGTCTGTGAGCAATACAGGCTGAGCTGATGTTCTCAGTTCATATATTCGGACTAATTTTTAAGGATATCCCCAAATCAGTTAACCTAAAAGTTGGACAGGGGAGAGGACTTCATGTTTAGCGAATCTACACACAATTAATACATGAGCATTCTAGATGTGATCAGTGGTTGATCCTACTGATCGAGTGCGCATGGGCACCTGTCCCAATCATTTGAATGCGACAGTGTCAGATAGTGCCGTGTATGTTTGAACAGAAAATTAACGAACCTTAGTACATTTCAACCATAGATGGCTAAAGCCATGTTTTGTGTACATCGGGGCTCTAAAGCCTTTGTAAATGTGTCGTGTCTCTTTTGCACACCAGTGTCTACGTAATCGGAACCATGAGCGTGTCAGATCTTGCATGCGCCTACTGCAGCGAAGCGACTTCCGTTGTGCGACAGCAGAGAAACAACGCATGTGCCCATCGATCACTGACAGCAGTCGGATCATGGTACTATCATACGTCTATAGTACGATGTCACGTGCATTCTGAAGGCGATTTCACGCTTGAACCGGGTTTTGTTCGGGTATAGTGCGTGGTAAGACGAGTAGCAATAGTGACGACAGTAATTTAGTCATCTCCTCCACACGTGCTGAAACGCAACAACGTAGACTTGTATAGTATGCAAAAATTGAACATGCTTATTCGCACTTAGTAGGAAGCAACTTGAAAAGGACTTAAAGTGGTGCATATCATGGTATAATGACGTTGGGTTCTAACTACCACTCTGATACAACAAACATGGCTACGGGTACCTTAAATACATGCTTAAGATTTACGTGGTTGCCACAAGGAACATTCATCGTTATCCTCAGTTGTATACTGCACTAACCATATGAATGATGGACAGGTCGGTGCTACCATAAATCCGTATGTTCCAAAAGGATATTTCTAGACTCTTTTCGTTCACACCAGATTTTTATCAGGAATACAAACCTCTGCTTGTTCGCTTCACGTTTCTACGTATCATTACATAAATATCTGCAGTTCACTACCAAGCTATAACTAGGTACCTATGGAAATGTCTCTGTCTTGGCACACGACAATTGTACCGAACGTCACCGTTGGCATACCAACGAGTCTCTATCCTACACCTGTGGCGAAGTTCTTGATCGTTACCTAGCGAGCAATACAGAACCGTAGTGCTAATGTAGAAACAAGTTGGCTTTTTGTAAACACATACCTTAGCTGCAGCGTTTCTGGTGGACTGTGTGTGAATCTCGCCAGTCCGTTCTGGATGTTAATCTTCATTGGAAACTGCATAACGGGGGTGCACTTTTTCTAGGTGTCATGTTCATGTACAGAGATTAGTGCGTACAATTAGTTATGCCAAATCGTCTAGTTAGTGTATCTTTCCTATCGGCATCAAATCATTCCAAAGAATCTTTCGTAAGAAAGACTAAATCATTTCATTAGAAGTCGCATACTGGGAGATTTGCGTGAATCACTGTTGCAAACATCATGGGGCAACGTTCCACCGATCGTCGCACCCCCCCCCCCAATATTCCCAAATCACAGCAGCACAATTCTTGCGATAAATGGTTGACCGGTTCTGATCTGCGTAGAGTCACAAAACATCTGTACCTATGGGGATATCTTGGGTGGACCACGTTGAAAGACCTACGGCTTCACTCGTGCATTCCATGCTAAAAGCAGCTCATACAAACTGGAACAGGTTGATGTGGAGGTAAAAACCAGGATTTCTTCGGAATCGGTTCAAGTTGCCCCATTACAAGTTACTCAAATGATGGTAAAAGAAAATCGTGTAATCATAGCAAAACCCAAATACCATGAGGGCAACATGCGCCATGAGGGCATACATCCATTTGGCGAGCCTTCGGTGCGCAGTCGTTTGGTGTAACCTCGGGCGAAACGAGAGTACACTGCCACAGGACCGTGGTTGAGCTTCTGATGAAGCCCCTCTTTGGGTCTATCCATGCAGCTTACATTATGTACCATGTCTCTCCCCACCTATTAGTGGAGATGGTGGCGTCAAATATGTGGGCTACATCTCTGCTCTCGCATAGAGCGCAATCAGATATGACCCATATTGTTGGATGGCATCAACTATGTGGCAACAATTGTTGAGCCAATCACCTCTGCCCCATTCTCCTCCTAACCTTACAGCCATCGAAGGTTGGAATTGGTTGGTGTACCTCACAACCAGATGGTACACGACACCGAACACAATCTTACAACGGAATGTTGTAAGTCTTTGAATACAGTAACAGTCTATCGTAATCATATCAATAACGAGTAACCTGCACTCTTTACGTCTGTGAAATCAGTACGCGGGCGACCAGTTAGTACGCTTCTCACTGACTACCTATAATAAAAACAGAGAGTTGAACGGGCGAAGTCAGTGGGGCAGCAATTAACTCACATCAACCGAACTGGAAACCGAGACGAGTAGCACGACCAGTGGGTCCAACTGGTTCTGAGACGTGCAGGACGCTGCCATCTCCGTGTAACCAGGGATCGAGTGGTCCCTGTAATCCCTTCTGTGTAACCACTTATTTGGTCCATTCATCCGACTGGGGATCAAGTTGACTGATGTTCAGTGCGAAGGATAAGCGAGTAACGTTACTCGGTCCGTTCATGCTGATGGGCACCATCAGACCTTATTTTATCACTGCCCACCTTAGGAGTGCTATTCAGGGTCGTCGCTTCCACGCATCCGCACTGCGTCGGTTATCGGGCCAGATGACTGACTTCGACAGCAGTGCTCAAATACCAGCGGTCGCCACAGGACTAAATGTAACGAATTGCTATGTCGATTCGCTGCAATTCCTCCCATCCACTCATCGACCTCTGAGTAATCTTGACTTTGGTTTCGCACCGTACACGGATTACATTGCTTCCTGTCATCCAGGGGAATAATTCGTGCCTAAACCATCTTGTTGCCACCATATTTGGTAACCTTATATATCACTATGCGCTGGGACCATTCCTATGTAGATGACCCACTTTCACTCTATTCCTTTTGGTTGGGAAAATCGGTGACCATTTGAACCGGTTTAATGCCAATTCATCTTTGGGTACTATTCCACTCAAGTTTAGCGCACTCTAGTCGTTTGAAAGCTTTTTATCTCAGTTCGCAGGATCATCTTAATTATTGACTTGAGGACAGGTGCAATGCTAATCTGCGCAGATTTTTCTCTCGCGGCTGGCACAACACAGGAAGTAACCTCTATCACACCGCATTGCCTAGCACGGCCACATACCAGCGTCGATGGAGTGAGTTGGGGCGCTCAACTTTGGACGCCTTGGCGGTCCCGGAATTGCGCCACTTAGGCCCGATATCTAACTGACATTGACAATTTCCTCCGCCGGGTCCCGGTTGAGCTATATTGAAAACATTTTCTATTAGCATCCAGCATAAATGTCTGAAAGATATGTGGAAGCAGTCGTCGGACAAGAAATCCAGTCATTGACTACAGTGCAGGTCACCACATGTGCAGCAGCACAATAAGTCTGAATTCGATTCTCTCCGAGATGATTCGTAGTCGTTTAGCGAATGCAATGTGATACGTTTTCCCATGAAGTTGAGAAGTTGATATTTTCTCCCGATTTGTCCATGTGACGGACGATTCCTCGTACAATTCAATTCATATTTTGAGACGACGGTCTGAGTGCCGTTTATGTAGTATCGGCACATTCGGAAAGCCAAACTTCCGGCGCCGATTCTCGTACACATCATTCCACATAGGTCCCATCTGGAGTACACGAAAAACGGAGCAGCCACCAATCTCTGCCGTCTTCATCTTCAACGAACGATTGAGCCGTACGAGGAAACTGAGCACTGTTTTCATGAAAAGGATAACACTTAGAACAGCGGTACCTCTACGGAAGATTATACAGGTTCAATGAAGAGACACTAAGTGTTGATGAGATAGCGTATGCCAACACTCAAAAGCGATCGCTTTCTAACACACGATACTAGCAATAACAACTGTGGAAGTGCAACGGCACTGCTTAGGAACCGGTTGAGTGACAAAATACTCGAAAGACTACCAGTTCAATCATGGACATATTTATCCGTCCGGATTATAGTTGAGGTCTGAAGCAAGAGTAGCCTGTTTTCCTCCGAATGAACCGCAAGGCTTCAAGTGCCTTTCGCCAACTCACGACCATGTGTGTATTCAACCCAACATGTCTTCACATGTGTTATAAAGTACGACAACCCGAATTCTGGACAAAGTTTGTCAACACATGAGCATCACTGGTAAGGGAATAAGTCGCCGGATGTATAAGCATACCCAATTACTAGTGCACAAAATTGGGCCCTTGTATGTGTCGTGATTTTTCGGTGGGAAAATCAATTCAATGGTTGATGCAACGTTTCGCTCGACGATGTGGTGTTCCCCGAAATTACACTTCCGTTGTAGTGAGATGCGCCTCTTCTGTTCAGGTATTTCTTATGATATGCGGAATTCGGCACTTGCCTAACACTTGTTCGACTGGACGCCGTTGCCATTTGAATGATACTCCTGTCAAGTGAATAGTGCTTATCCACTAAGAGATGGGGTCACATCCACGGAACTTGAACTGCTACCTGCCCTCCGGTCTTCATTATCCCGACCAGGAAAGATGAACCCAACCTATTTCGTGAACAGGATCAGTAGTGTATAAGTTGGTCACCTCGGAAACCGTCAAGATCACAATCGACAGTGCAGATTAGCTAAACTACCTTCCGATCCAATTCTAGTGATACCACTCTTTTTGGACAACACATACATACTTATTAAAAAATGTAGACAAAACGACATGCGTTTCTGACCAAAAGAATCGGAATGGAAACTTGTACAAATGCAATTTGTTGAAGATGCCTTCGAAACTATGTAAAAACAAACAGGTGCTTGATGCACTATATTCACGGCTTCACTGGTCGGCTATTCTTTGTTACTTGGATATTAACGCAGCTTCCTACCCAGTAGACACTGAACTCAGTGTGGCAACTTCTGCCTATCACTGCTGTTTCAAAATTGCCCATTATTGATTTGTGCAATGTTATTATAGTACTTTGTAATTTACTCTTTGATGTTAAATGCTTACATGTAGAGTTTCCATATTATCTCGTAGTCGACATGTATCCACTCGTTGTCGCAGTCCGCCATAAAACCAAGAATACACAATTTATTCACTCTTTGCTGCAACCCGATACATTGGATGAACAAGCATTTGCATATCCCACAAATTACGATCTGAGTACAGAATATACCTTAAAACGAAACATTAGTTGTCTATTTGTGTTGTTATTATTACCCATATTCTGTATGCTTTGTGACGTAACGGCGATTCTGTGCTAGTCAACAAGGATGAAATACAGTTAATCCGTCTGTTGAAACTATTGCGTCAGGCTTGGCGAAGAAAAGTCGGTTTTTCTGTGAGACTCGGTGAAGCACCAACACACCAAACATTCCCTTATATCGCTGAGAGTAGTGTAAAATAAATTTCCACCTTGCTGCCTGCTGTAAATGGATGAATTTGGACTACGTCCACCTTTCTCTTATCCTGAACACAACCGGCGTAACTACAGCATGCGCCGCCGAGTCTACGCAAGAACGAAGCTGTAACAGGTTGCATGTTGTGGGATGTTCTAATGTATTTAGGATAGTTTCAGTCAGTCGTACTGCAGTGGTACATACTAAGTCTTACCGCTTTATAGCAACTGCTAATTTCAGTGGGAACCCACTTAGATCGTAGGGAAATAGGAAGGTGTCTGATTTGAGATACCTGGCCTGAACGTGGGATCATGAACTCATTAGAAGCTATCGCATCCGTTTGGCCTACAACAGACGCCACCGATAAACATATACATGCATAAGGACTGTCGATTTTTGCACTGCCGGCGCTACCAACTAATGTAGACACAATAGGCGAGAAATTCGAGTTACTTTTGCCGACGCAGGTACACGCAACCAGATGACACAAAATACCTTCGAAGTGCGCCTTTCAGTATGAAGCGGGCAATCGCTTCCCTCGTATATCCTTGGGGATGTAGTAGTTCGCGTGGATAGTTCGGGCACATATTGCTCGTTGGCTGACAGGACAGAAAGTACCACCCACACAAATACGAACACAGCCAATCTGCTACGTAATTGCATGACTATCTTTACTAGTGTAACAGATTCATCATGGCGCATACTCTTAAGCTCGTATAAGGTTAGATTTAGCTACTTGGAGACGTTAGTCAAAGAACACAATACTCACCCGATAGTCATACGTCTGCTCTCTCCGCAGCACACCGGCGTGAACATCGTGGAAGCTCTCGTAACCTATTGCGGTCATCCCGGCCATAGCAGCTGAACTCAAAATGGATATTGTAGCCGTGTTGGTGGACCAGTGGCCTGAACTTGTTTCATGAATATGCTCAGTCAGATGCGTCCCACCGTTTGGGCTGGCCCATCGACGAAGAGAAGCCGTTCCCTGATGGTGCACTTAATTTTCCAGGCAGCAGAACGAGCCCTCTGGCAAATGTCATGAGAACTCCGCTATATTACTTGTCTGCTTGACTTATGATTGGCTGTTGGGCTCATACGGCCTTGACATGAAGGGTAGACCTGCCCCAGTAGCAGTGTGCCCATGTCGTCACGTCCAGAGTAGCATAACGCGACTGTTAATTTGACGGTTTCTGAATTACGCTAGAGACCTATCCACATACACGCACACATACGCGCACGCGCTTACGCACTAGGCCTTTTCATATACGATATTGTATCACACACGCGATCGTAAGAGCTCAAGCGTACGTGCAGTAGTACGTACGTGGGGGTGAACCGTGAATCGATTACGCCTTAGTACCCGCGTCGCGTGGCGTGTGTTGGAGCGTACGTGCGTTTATGAGTAGCAGTCTACGCGCAGCGGTCTGTCTGGTTGTTAGTTTGTTGGGCAGGTGGAATTTCCCAAAGCGCCGTTTACGTGGACACGAGATTGGGTTGATGAATCACCTATCCAGCTTATCGAACCGGATTCACCTGCGCCGTTGACATAAGTTGGAAACAGCAATTGCCAAACGGCGAGTGGGCGGCCGCCTTCATGACTCAGCTGTCCGCTAGAGCACGTTTAATCAATGCACTTCCGTCTATTATTCATGGAAAACACGCATACATTCTCTCCAACCACCGACTTCCGAGACGCACAACAATTTATTGCGAAAAGAACGGCTTGTTTACTAACTACGCGCTAGTCCAGTTGCTTGCCTAAGGCCAGACGACTGATAACCCAGGGGCATGACCGTCGCTCTGGGCAATTTCTGGGTCACGTGGACCCAAGTATTGAGGTTTATTTACTCAATACTGCGACTGCGGGTTAGTGATTATAAAAACACCACTAATTAGGGAACGATCCTCTCTGGTGAGATGCATTCGGATGAAAAGTGTTCCATTTGATGTATGTCTTCATTTGAGGCACATTAGTTTAGCCCACAGATTCAGGTTAATGATATGACGAGATTTCCCTGTGGATCACTTAAACCTGTGTGTCTTAGTAATTAAGGTCACCGAAGTTGTCATGACCTTGAACAAGATTTGTAACGATTCACTGGTTTGATTAACGCGCCTTTTGTGTCTGTTCGCGCCATCGCCTGACGATCGAGGATACCGGTTTCAGAAATCTTACATTCTATGCGGTTCCTGTACATATGTCATCCCGTCTATTGTGATTGTTCGTACGCTAAACTCAACAAATTGTCAGCAGTGGGTGCAATCGGTGCATTTCTTCCGCTGGTGCCATGTGCCGCTTTCAAGCTTCTTAGAGGCATGAAGCCACTATCTAGATACTCATCATCAATGCTTTTCGAGTGTTGAGGAAGTTGCAACTCAATATAGAAGTGCCAGGAAGGTTACACTGGGATGTTAAAATGTATGTACAAAGAAGTGATACTATTTTCAAATCGGTGTTAAGAAAACCGACTAGTCACATTACGAACGTTTGTTCGCTACTTTGCAACACATGAGTCACTGAACGGGGCTTCCAAATTTGGTCGTGCTCTGAAATTATTTCCGAATCAAATCACCAACATACAGTTTTCGGAGGTATATTAGGACACCGGTATGTGAACTCTTCAAAAATGTTTGCCGCAACTAGCCACATGATTGTTGACATTCGCGATGCATACTAATTTTTCACTTTTACCCGACCAATTTATACGGAACATTGTAAAATGTATGAAGTATAAGCAGAGGACAAAATTCAGCAGTAGGGGATACACAGATTTTACCCATTGCCAATATCCGATCACCGCTTGGAAAGTTTGGAGATCTCAAAACTGTAATAAATTTTTGGAAATATTCTCACATAATCATCCTTATGTCACGAAACCTGGCTTCATATCAACATTGAAGAAGAATTCATAGAATTTGACCGATTTGTCTCTTATCAGGTTGACCGCCTGTGTACATACAGAAACCGAGCTATTGGCGTAATCACCTACATCAGCTCTCCATGGTGCGCGTCCAGGTAACGTTTTTTTCCGCCACTGTTAGCCACGTATCAACTGCTTAATCGTGAAATGCAAACCAAGATGTCCAAACGGCTATTGCTCATCTTTCTTAATTAATTTATATTTTTCTACTTGCTGTCCCAACTCAGAAGTTGAATACTTACGACGGATTTACAGCTGTTTCCCTTAAATACGTGAAATTTTCTTACTGCATAGTTGCTTGAAATTTTAACTGATCTGACACCGGATAAATTGTAAATCTAGGATAGCGGCAATCATAGACAAGGAAAACGCGTTTCCGCAGGACTTTAGTTCGACGATGCGGTCAGCGAAAGACAGACAGGAGTCTATTTTCGACAACGAGTCGTGCTGCGAGTAGAATGGAGTGTTTTTTGATATTTCCTTGGTCGGCCATGTGTTATGTAGGTCAGGATTTCTTGTAGCAATGAGTCCTGGATTGTGGCATCGATCTGTGAGGTGTTCACGGTACCATGTACTTGACACCTGTATCAGCTGTGATTGCGGCAGTGACTGCGTCTTTAGGTTCATTGCTGCTTGTGCCGATTAGTCTTGATAGCGCATCTCTTTGCGCGATAGAATCAGTTAGTCAATATTTCATATTGGAGTCATAACACGTGAGCAATCTCGTCCATCGTTGTAGTCGGCTAGCTGCGTATGCCAGGATACCCTTCTCCGGTCGAAAAATTGCGAGGAATGGGTTATAGTCCGTCAGCAGTGTGAAGCGTCTTCCGTGCAGTATTTTGTGAAATTTCTGAACAGTAAAGAGGATGGTCAGGGCATTTTCGTTATTTGGTTGTATTTTTTTCGGATTCAGTAGGAACTAGTGTAGCATGCCCCACAGCTTTTTCTGAACTATCCCGGAACCGGTGGGAAATCACTGTCCTAATTCAATCGCTAAAAGTATCCATGGTCACGACCATCTCCAGGTTCGGATTGTATTTAGTGAACAGTACTTCTAACTTCAGTAGCGACTGCCATTTTTCGAATGCCTATTGGCCTTTTTTAAGCCACTTCCATGCATCATCTGTCATCAGAAATTGATTCAGCAGATGACGTCAACGATGCATATACTACAAAGTTTCACTATAGCGACCTACCATTCCCAGGAACTATATGTGTTGCGATATCCGTTAGTTGCAGGTAATTGATCTATCACTTCGATGTTAGGTGGATTTTGTCTTTCACCGTGCTGATAACCCCACAAATCCCAGAAACTTGGTGAACTTCTGTAGGAAGTTGCACTTTCTCACTCTTGAAAGGAAGCCGCAATCCTCGGTTTTTATCATCACCTAGTCCGGTCGCCGGAGTAATTCACCACGCGTTCGGCCCATTACACTAATGCCATTTAGGTAGGCTTCAGTTCGAGGTACGCTAGTCCGCATTGTATCCATCATCATCATTCATCATTATACACATCAGCTAGAGGTGGGAAAACACCTCCGCTATCGTGCCGCAATACATGAAAGAAATGGTTGGCGGCATCCGGTTTCGGATTTGCCTGTCACTGTGGCAAGCCACAGGACGCCTGCGCCTACAGAGGGACCATGGGTGGCTTGCGCTGCACCACCCACAGCTCCAACCACACACCCCATATCCAGTGTACACCCGAAGGAATAAGACCAGGGGGGCATGTGGATGGGAACCACGTTTCATCAACGGAGCCGGCCCACACTCCTTCACAGGCAAACACAAGCACACTGTATTTGGGGAATCAAGCGCACACAAGGCGGTGGCTGGACCGTAGTCCGTTCCACACTGAGTGCATGGAACCACTCTTCGAGCCTAGCACGGCCACAAGGACCGTGCACCCCGTCCCCCCCAGCAACGACCAACTGTCTCCTGGACCCAGTATGGACGAGGTAGTGGGTGATAGACAGGTAGGCACCTTGTCAACATGCACATCAAGCGCAGCCACACCGGGGATAGCACGCAACAGCCAATCACTTGAAACGACAAAATGAAATGAAATAAATCCAATAATGCATACAGATACGGTGGCATAACTCTTCGCTAAGTTAGCATATGAAGTAAGTTGGTTAGCAATGAATCCGTGATAAGGAAAATGAATGTCCACAAGTTACTCAAAAATGCTACGAACGCAACAAAATTACCGAAGATAAGCGCAATTAGCGTAAGCGACGTGGCCAGCTAATAGAAGACTATTCAGATAGGCAAAACTAACCAAATAAACTGGAATGAAATTTATGCAGCTTAAAGAGACCTAGTTTAAGTTGGTTTAGCCCAACTGCGGTGAAGAAGCATCAAGAATGCAACATCAGCCTCAGCATGGGGCACTGGAAAGAAATACATACATACATATAATACAATACACAAAGGAACAATAGATACAACAGTTGCATGCCAACTGAGCTACCAGCAACGGATAGGCATCGCTCCGGTAAGCTTCCAGCCAGCTACTAGGCAAAAAAATATTGTTATTATTATGTTTTACCCAAGGAAATGAGATCGCACATGGAGGGGGAGGCTGAAAGGGATGGGGTGGGATAAAGAAACTCACAGCAGGAACGCCACTGAGGTCGGCTCTTTGCCATGTCAGCAAGTGTATCCAGCCAAACGTGTTCACCGCGAGCCGTGAAGCCCCAATCGAGGCTAGCTCCGAAGTGATGGACTTCATACCTCTGGACCAAGTCATCGCTTGGCCACCTCTCCTCTTCTTCCACCCACATCCCCGGTGAGCAAACAACGCACGTCGCGGGAGTCGGTGGGCTGGCATGCGTAACACGTGGCCGAGCCATCAGAGCCTGGTGCGGGAAATAACGGTGCTCAGCGGCTCAGATCCTATTCCTTGGCCGTAAACAATGCGTCGAACACGCTCGTTACTCACGCGGTGTTCCCACCAGATATGAGCCAAACTGCGAAGGCACCGGTGGTCGAACGTAACTAGCCTCTTCATGTCCGTTGATCTTAGGGGCCAGGTTTCGCAACCGTACAGTAAGGTCGAACGTACCGCTGCATTGTGCACTCTACCCTTCAGGGCGAGAGTAATGTCGCGCCGCCGCCATAGGTGGCGAAGGTTAGCAAAAGCACTCCGAGGTTTCGCATTGTATCCATGAGTTGCTGAACAATTGCTGGTGCTGTTTTAACTCCAAACCGCAATCGGTTGTCTTGACTGAGCCCGCAGTGCATGTTCATCTTCAGAAGTTT